AGAGCAAAAAATATTGAATACATATTTAAGTATTAAGCCATTAAAAAACTGAGGAAATTTTTAAATAATTATAACGTTAAAAGTGGAATGATTCATATGGTATTACACGCGTCTACTTTAGTATTCCTTTGTTGTCAGTGTCACGTGGTATGCTTCAAATATTTGCCGAACGTCAAATAGTGGTTTGTTTATTTCTGGAAAATTATTCTTTTATCAAGTGTGGTGATACATGTTCTTATAGCTATAGCGATACAAATTTTTAATAAAATCATGGCACTCCTCTCTACTAATAAAGTGCAAGACTTTTATATGTGCAATATAACAATTCCAGTGACTGTTTTTACGTTAGCTGCATTTATTTTCCTGGTGTTTAAAAGGTAAGTTACATGTTCTTTATTCGATAGTGTCTTGCAAAATATATATTTAAGTTGAATGTTGTCTTTCATGTTAAAGGTTCAGTGTTATTTTTTAGTTAGGTTACCTTATTGTTTTATTTCTTTTATCTTTTTCTAAGACTTTTATCATTTTTATTTTCTTAAATAATTATTTATTGTACAGTAGGTCTCTTGAATTTCATCAACAATTGTATATTTTTTATATACAAAGTTTTGCATTTTTGTTATTTAACAAAATATAACATGAAGGAAAGAATTTATGAAATTCTTGTTTTGTAACACCTCAAATTTGTCATGTTTTTCAAGTAAATTCAAAGGAATGTTTAAAAGAAAATTAACAATATTTTGAATATCCATTATGCTATTAGTAAAAAGATTTTTTTATTAATATCTATGATTTTCTAATTTTCTTACTAAAGATGTGTTTAATGTGACTTTAAATATGCAAAATGTGGAAACAAATATTTTAAGTAAATGTTGCATTAAATGAAATCTATCCAAACAGGCACAACGTTTTCATATCACTTTTGATAATAAATAAGAGCACTACATGTCACTTATAGGATCACAAAAAATCATAAAACTGCAAAGGATTATCCTCTCTCTCATTAATAGTTTCTGTAGAAACTATAAAATAAGTATTCACTTGAAGAATATTTCCAACACAAATTTTGAACACACACACTTCCATTATAATGTTAGAATTTTAAACTTTTAACCATTATATTTGTGATTTAGAATGATATGGCAATATAATATGCCTTAAGTTTATCAAAAATTTAACATTAAATATCTTTGTAAATAATGCATATTGAACAATACGCTCAGATACGAATTTGTTTATTTTCACTGCAGATTCACTATAATAAATTTAGTTGAAGTTATTGACCTCTCAGTTGTGGCTGCTCTTTGTTAGTCAAAATATGGGAAAAGAATATTGTTATTCTTGTAATTAGCTTATTATAAATAATCATCATATTGTGGAAGTAGTATTTACATTATAAATTATAATTAGGAACACAGGTTTCTACTACGCATTACAAATATAATGCTTTATATTAATGCATAAAATTAAATAGTTGTACCAATTTCTAGAAATACTTGTATTCTTTAGCCTATTTTGTTTGTTGTATGTAATACACCTACTATTTTTAATATACACTATTGTGGACTTATTTTACTATAATGTTACATAAAACAACATAAGAGTAGTACTACCTGTAGTCAACATAAAATCAGTAGCAAAATAAGGTCTTATAGGTCTATTTGATAGGAAAATACATAATGTTATTATTTCAGTTTTTTTTGTTCGTGTTTATGTCACTAACAATACATATGTCAAATCTTCATTTCTCTTGTAAACTACAAATGTAGTTAAAAAGTGATTAAAGTTTGTATACGTTAGTGAAATTAATCATGCCACCATTCCCCTACAATGCAAAATTTATCTTAGCAATAGTCTTCAGTTGTTACTAATCATAAGTATCCTCAAGTTAAATTAAAATGAATATTTATTTTATTTTAATGTTGTTTTTGGCCACATATTGTACCCGTCTCACTTGTTAATTTGCGTATACATACAGTGATGTTCACTTGAATAGACTCAATTAAAAATATATTAGTTCGGATAAATAGAAAAAAATGTTGTCTAATATTTGTACATTAAAAGTTAGATACGTATACAATACGAATTATTTGATAGCATTGGTTTCTATAGCTGCAAATATTTTTGTGTGTAGTGCTTTTTGATCGTTTAGGAAACTGTTCACATGAATAATTTAATTTGTTTAATCGCGCTCAGTTAATGTTTCATCGTAAGCCAGCGAAGAAGCGTCGTTTAGCAATAGTTCTATAATTCTTATATGCTGAGTCGGAATGTACAGGTTAACCTCTTGCGATCGGAAGCCGGTATATTCCCAGTACGCGTATTAGTCGCTTGAAACAATTCGATTTATCTTATCACGCTCTCACTAGATCTATTTTAAATAACTTTGATGACGGTTATTTATTGTTATATAAAAAATAAATATAACTTTGCTAGATATTCAGTTTATCCGTAGCGTGAACGCGTCAGCTCGTCAAGTTAACAATGAAGAATACAGTATACCATAGAAATCGTTTTGGTTTTTACATTTTCACTTTACTTCTGTTTTTTACACTATCTTTATGAAGTACATATTTTGTCATAATATTACATGTATTATACATGTACTATACATATTCCAAAAAGATACATGACTGGAAATTTTTTCAAATGTTTTTGCTGCAACTCTGAATTAAAAAGAATTCAAAATGCTAACAATGCCGATTTTTTTATTAAAGTTGTATATTTTTACAGTTTAGTAGCTTGTTATGATTGCTGATTTGTAATTTTTTTATGAGTTTTCATACATATGTAAAACTAGGTAAGAAAACGCCGCGTACGTTACATATAATGAATTACCAAAGAACGAAAATTTCAGTTTCTATAATTTTCATCCTACCTTTATGAGAATAGTACTAGTGAATTGGTGAAGTCCTCCCGATGAAAATGAGTCCAAACATGATATAAATTGGACTGAACTTAAATTAATTTTCCCGTTGCGTTGCGACGTTCTTATTAAACATGCAAATAGTATGTCTCGTATTCGCTATTTGAGATATTTAAATTGATTACTGTTATTTATTTGTTTCTAGTTAACTTCGAACCATTGCGTTTAGTCGAAAATTTTTCACCAGGGGTTGTAGACGTTACAGCAGTGATAATATTTGCACACTCCTTTTCACGTTCTGTACTTTTAGTTTTGGTATTTTCCGCCTTATATACATAGATTTATTTACGTTTTATTATTTATTAAATTTAAATGAAATTTTTCAAATTTTATTCAATTGCAAAAAATATAGTCTCCGTATATTAGATTTGTGATTTAACTAGTAACTTTTTTGTATAGATTTTTCTGAATTGAACATTAGTAATTTACCATATGAGATTAACCCTCGTATACTTCTCAGAAATAGTAACACAAAAGACCCTCGGGTATGATATTTCACCCATTTTTTTCTTTACACTCCAATTAATGTTATTATTAACCTATTATACTGTATTTCATAAAAAGTTAGTTACATTTATTAACTTATCCTTTATATTTTGCAATTATTACATATATAAATAGCATTTTTATGTTCGCCACATACATACCACTTATACCCACAGTATAGGCCTGTGACAGTGTTGCTCATAGAAACACTGAAGCGAAATTTTCGAAACGAAAATTTTATACCCAATGATATCTTTACATATCGAGTGATCGTGACAAAATTTTACAATATAAATATAATTCTTACAAAATAAAAACATGTGCATGAAAAGCACTATGTAATAACTTATTTTCACCAGAGTATCTAATGTATTTTACAAGTGAACAATATTCGGGTGAAATATCATCCAAGGAACTTTTCCGTTACTTTTTTTTTTACAACATTCTTGTTATATATAAAACGTTAACTACTTGTGCTTTACATACAACTCTATATTTCAGACAAATACATCAAGTTATAACATATTTAGAAAGAAATCAAGCATATTACAGCGTCTGAAAATAGAAAATGGGTGAATTTTCACCCGAGGAGCGTATGAGGGTTAAAAATAAACACTGTTAATATTTCAATGTCTATTAATGCATTTCAGCATCATCTGGGTATTAATTATATGTTGCCTCTATGTAACGAGTATCTTTTATGGACTTGCAATATTACAATATGTCAGCGTGGTGTTAGTGAATCTAAATGCTATAAGCGATACATTTAATCCAGCCTACGAAACGAAAGACCCTTGTGCCATTTGCAGCAACAATAGTTGTAACAGGCATAAATTGTTACCACATTCGACTAAAGTCAAAATACCAAAGGATGTTGACCAAGCATTGCAATACGTAATGAACTCATGTTTACATTATATATGTACATTTTTAATTTTAATCATTTGACTACGGAGGGGAACAATATCGTTGTTTCACGATTTGCTCAATTGTCGGCGCGAAATTCAAACAACCAGATTATACGTGTATATAATACATGGTGTTTTAATAACATTCTATATCAATGTAAATTGTGTGCTTATGCTTTTCATATTCTATCTGTGCAAATATTATTTTATACTAATTTGTTTCTACACACCAAAAATAATAATAAAACATGCTTGTATAGACATTAGATAATTTAAATGTTATTTGTGGAAAAAGTATTCGAATATGATAAAATCGAATGGTAATTACTTGTGATATTTGCAAACATAGAAAAGTCTTGCATTTCATGTTTCATTTTACTGTAATTTGGCCATCACCAAAACGACATGCGTAGTCAAATGGTTAAAGTAAGTATTTTAACTCATATCAGAACTCGCACCTTTTTCTACAATGTGAGAAACTTCACACCACCTTATTTTCTGACAAATTATTATTGATTCTTACATTGTTTACTTACCAAAATTTTGCTAACAAAATGATATTAAACGGGAAATTAAACCCAAGTGCCCTTGTGTCACTTAATGGCAGAATTGGGTATTATCCGAATAAAATCTTATTAAATAAAATTTCGAATAAATTTTTTCAATAAAATTTGAGCTGAAATTTATCATTTTTTATCATTTGTGTTACAACACCAAATAGAATTTGCAAAACCCAGAATTATTGCAAGGACCACGGGGTACTTCTCAAGAAAATGCAAGGAAGCCTTAAAAAAAGGAAACACCCAAATAACATTACCAGAGATAGTGGATACCATCTTAACCCTATACCGAACAAGCTCCTCCCGGTTTTCTAATTGTACAGCTGATCAATTAAAGCACCTCATTAGTAGCCAATGATCTGTGGCAGCAGCACGCCACACTACTCAATAAACTCCTATCACCAATCTATAAACCCAAATCCAAAACGACACGTGACATTATCAATGTTGTTTCGACGCGATCCTTTAACTTTATTTTATTATTCTCAGTGTATCGCGTCTCTCACACGCCAAATTAATCTTGTGTGAGTGTCGTTAATGTTTGAGTATGAATGTGTAAGTATGAACTATGTTTAACGTGAACTGTTTTATTGATCTTTTTGGAATTTTTGTGGACATCGAGGCGCGTTGGGGCCTTTCTTACAGTTTTATCTTAAAACTATGGTGAGCGGGTGAAAATAGGAATCCTTCCTCGTCCTGCGCTGTCCTTCGTGAGTAGGGGATGCGCAGCTCACCCTGGATTTCCCTGGTCGATGGGGTGGCGGTATGGTATCGCGGCGAGAGTGTGAGGCCCTGAAAAAGATTAGTTCAAACAGGACTTATCTGTGTGCACCTGTGTGAAGTGGTTTTACGACACGTCAATTGCTATTGAAAGAAATGTACGGACACCAGGAAGGCGTACGGCACGCAAAAGCGTCGAGTTTCTGCGTCCACAAAACACTTTCTGGTCCTCAACATCGTTTCGAACGGAAAAGTAAAACACAAAAGAATTGAAATTAGAAGCCCTCAAAAATAGCAGGCCTGGTCGTCCGTGTCATAAAGTGAAACTCTAAACTCTAAATTATGTATATACATATATGACGGAAAAGTAAAACACAAAAGAATTGAAATTAGAAGCCCTCAAAAATAGCAGGCCTGGTCGTCTGTGTCATAAAGTGAAACTCTAAACTCTAAATTATGTATATACATATATCCACAAGAAAACGAGCAAACTGAAATCAGCGAGAGGCTGTATTGGAAATGGGTGATTGAAATAAAATTGGCTTTGTATAACTGCTAATATTCAATTTATTCTACGACTCTGAAGAAATGTCTTTACTGTTTGAAATGCTCTATGTCTCTGGACACCCAAAAAGAGAAAGCTTTTTGTCCTCACTCGATTATTTCTACAGGGTGTTCTTAGAAATAATCCAACAGGCTGGATAGTATGAAAAGAGAAAAAAAATTATTTCTGATTTTTTTTTTAAAGGTGGTGTCACTCAAAGTGCTGTTTACAAAAGCCACCCCCAAAAAATAAATTATTTTTCTTTCTACCCTTAATAATTGATTTATAATTCTAAAAGAAAGTATCTCGAGTAAAGCTAGTCTATAGCTCTTTTACATTTTTTTTTCTTCATCTAAATATCTTAAGTAACAACTGAGAAAATAAATAAAGTTTAGGGTTTTCACCCCCATATTACTACCTTCAAACGAAGAGGTAGAGATCTGAAATTTTGCAGAATGGTTTTTCAGGCGAAGAACATTTCAAAGAATTTCATTCCTCCACCAACTTTGGTGTCCTACACTCAAGATATCATAGTATTTCGTGGTCTTTGTAATTCTACAAAGGAGATACTCCAATCTGCGAGTTCTGATGGGTTAACAGTGTTCCTTTTAAACAGAATGCCTCATACAACTTTAAAAGTTGCTTTTTGTTTTTTTGTTTGTTCATCTTTTCAAATGAGGAAGTATTAATACTGCTGCATTACTTAAACGCAGCACAGAACTTTATTACATGAAAATTTTCCGATTTAAATAGAGTGTCGATTAAGTTTCGAGTATAATTTATTTAGAAATTTTATTTTGATAATTAGACAGATAATGCCATCTCCCTCAAAATACATAGTCCTCTTGAAACTATGCACAAGTAACATTCCTGATGTCTGTTTTAATACCTACGCTGCATTACTATGATTTTCCGAAAATGCGTTCGTCTATGTCTCCTTTTAGTCGAAGAAATAAAAGAAAAGTCACGGGAAGGTAAATCGGACGAATATGAGGGACGCTTGAACCTATTGCGAGAGCATTGTCGTGATACAAAATCCACGACCAAGTTAATTTCAGGTCGAATTTCATTCTCTTACAAAACCTTTCCCAAAATTCGAGATAAAATTGTCAATTGACAGTTTTATCAGGTGAAACAAAGTCATCGTGGACAATTTCTTTCTGATAAAAAAACAAAAAAATAACTAATAAACATGAGATCTCGAGACTTCATTGACACTTCTGGTATTATAGTGCATTAATTGGAAAAAATATTCCGAGTCGTAACCTTCCCTTGTAACAAATTTATATACAATTAATGAAGCTCTGTGACGTTTAATAAATGCAATTCTCCTGAAGGGTCTAGCAAGGATAAAGGAGTGAAACCAAAGGAGTTTAAACCAAATTCGACTTAAGACTTGAACTTTCAAAATTGTTGCATACCACTAAATTAGGGAAAATAGTGTAAAAACTGATGATCCAAATTTACCCTGTAGTAACTACGCCCCAGGTCAAGCTGAAGGGTTGAAACTGGGCATTGTTTCCTTTCGGTAAGCTATCGAATGGGTGGATCGCAAGTTCAGTTTGGTTTAAAAGCACCTTTGATCCCCTTATCCTGCTGGATCCTTTACGTTTTAATTCTCTCTGCTTGCATTAACAATCCTAGAAGAAAATGTGTTTGTAATTCATGAAATATAGAAATATATGACTTCTTTCCACAGCTTCTCGACGATCTATTGCAGAAGTATGTTTGTGCATGGTATTCAGATTTTTCGACGAACGAAGCGTTCGTGCAACAACTTCGTTTAACTACAGTGACAGCAACCAAAAACGTGACAGTCCGGCTGCTTCGTACAGACGTAGCAAGTGTTGTGTTTCATCGTTTAATACCGTTGATTTTACAACATGCTCAGGACTGGAAAGCGTTGCGCTCGAACATACAAAATACGTCCGACAAGTCTCAGTTTGGGAACAAACTGATCGATTACTTTGGCCGTGAGATTCATCCGGCGAGTTACTCTCGCAAGGCTGAGTTAAATTATCTCAGAGGAGTGGTTACTGTGGTTATACCACACTTACTCCCTGCTATACATATATCTACCAATAACAAGGTGAGTCTGTTGTAAATGTTCACAAAATTGTAAAAATTCACAAACTCGTGACCCTCCCTCCGTTGTTCCCATTTGGTGACCTTCGTTGTTTTTGAGAATATGGAGAGCTCGTTTAACCTCTTGCCGTATAGTAACGAGTCAGACTCGTGCCACAGATTTTGGTCAAGATCTGACAGAAACAGTTGTATTAGTAGGAAAAATTAATTTTAATTCGAATTTTCGATATAATTTATAAAACTGAAGATAGTCAAATTTAATTGATCTATAATACATTAGCTTCTCTTACTTAACATAGTACTAAAATAGGAAATAGTTGACGCTTAGATGCATACACAGGAAAATAAATCATACGTCAAGAGGTTAAGGGGAGAACACCCCCAATCGACGAATCGAAGAAAATCGATTTCTTTTTCTTGCATAAATCGATAGTTTTATATCTTGAGAATATGTTCCTCAAAATTTCGTTTCGTTACGTTGATTGGGTCATACGTTACTACACCAAAATAATTTCCGACTTGATTTTGGGTCAAATTGACCCAATTTCTCCGATTGACCCGATTGAAAGAAATCGCTCATATATTCGTATCATTTTGTAATCAATAATCGTAAGTAATCGTTCTTTATGCATGTGTCACGTGTTCTTGTATTGTCACGTAACAAGAGGATGTTTTATTTTCAGGTTATACTTCGGGAAATTTTAGCAAATTGGATTCTGTTACCAGCAGTCGATGCAATCGCTGATCCAGATAATATAAATGCATTGGTAATGTTATCGACCCATGGCAGTTCAGTTTCTAATCACGTGGATACGGTGAACGTACCAATGCTGCAATATTGGATAACGACTCCGTTGGTAGTGAAAACCACGCAAGATTATCTAAGACCTTCGTTGGATGAAATTTTGGCCGATCCTCGACTGTTGTATATGTTCATGCAACATATCAAAGAGTCTGGCCCCATGAATCTTTTTCAGTTTTGTTTAGATATTGGTAAATATTTAGTACATACGCACAATAAAGATATTGACAACACAGAGAACAAGTGACGAGAAACGGAACATCTACATAAATATTTCGTGTTCCTCTGTTGATAGATAAATAACTAAACCTTATTTTTCTTTATCACGATGGAAAACATTCGCCCCGTCGAAGAGTTCTTTCCGTTTCCGTTATCAATATTTTTCATACCTATGTCTTCGATACTATTCGATCCGGCATCATGATTTACGGACTAGTATCGATTCGATATCGGTCTGATCACTACCGCGTGTACTCCTAGCCTAGATCTTCCACCTTAATGGCTCTCCTCCCCACCCGATAACTCCTCCTCGCTCTTCTTCCGGGATTGTTTCTCTCCCGCTTCCGCTCTGCGGCTCCTTCGCGTCATAACGTCTTCGCAGGAAACCTCGGCTTTCGACAATCTAAGCAATAGATGCGCTCTTTTTTTAGGCCACCCACGCGATACTATAACAGTTACAGCGAAACTAAAATTTGATCGATGCCCTGTATGCTTGCCTTTTTTCAGATGATCTTAACACACGTATGTTAAATCCAGAGATGAATTCAGTCGCTGAAATCAGTTTACATACAGATATTCAGAATATGTATGCAACATACTTAAATCCTGAAGGACCAGAATATATAAATTTACCAGAAGATATATCAATGGGTATACGACAAAGTAAGCACGCAGTATTTCAGAGTTTTACTAATAAGACTCTGCACGATATATTTGTTTCCTTTCGTTGTAACGGCGTGGAATAGAAATAGTAAACTGAAATATAGAACTGTGAATTTTATATGAAATTTCTGTTTATTGCTTCATTTATGCTTTTTACTGTATGCATATATGATATTCAGATTTTGCATTGTACGTTATATGTTTCTAGTTCTCGATAAAGGTCCGAAGAAAATTCAAGAGATGAGGACCTCGCGAGCATTTTATCAAGCACATCAAGAAGCACATGCTCTATTAGAATCTACTTGTTTACCATCTTTCCATCATAGTTACCAAGTAAGCAAATCGAAGATTGACTTTCATTTTACATTTACACATTTCTTTAATAATCCTTATCTGCTTTTACAGTTGTACGACTTGTTATGTGGACAACCAGTTCCAAATCGTGTTAAACAGTCTTCTCGTATGAGGTGAGTAATTCTATATGTGTTTACATATACTGAATTCCATTATAAATGTAGATATTTACGGATTTCTACACTTGTAGAAGATAATCGAAGAAATAGATTTCATACACAGAGTGATTCACCTGAAATTGCTCGTAAACTATTAGCTGTTCAAAATAGTGTTTGAAGCAGAAGTTGCATGATTTCAAGGGAGACATATGTTACAATAATTATTTTTTTCTACGTTGTTTTTATGTATAAAGTTTTGAAGATCACCGTGATCTTTTTAAATGGAACACACCCTATAGTTTCTTTCCGGAAATTAAGAGAGCATTAAACGCCGAGTAAATAAATATTAAGGTGTAATATGTCTAAAATGAGTATTTATTGAGATATTTACAATAGAAGTTCTATTCTATTGAAATCGAATTTACAGAAAAACACGCAGAAGTATATTTCTCTATCCGTAAATTTGATTTCAATAGAATAGAACTTCTATCGTGTTAATATTAATTTACTCAACTTTTAACGCTCTCTTAATTTCTTGTGACTTTCAAAACTTTATGTATAAAAGCAGTGTAGAAAGAAATAATTATTGTTACATATGATCTCCTTGAAATCATGCAACTTTTATTTCACACGCTATTTCGTACAGCAGTTTACGAGCAATTTCAAGACGTCAAGTTAGGTGAATCATCCTGTATTTCAATTTTAATAAAAGTAATATGTACTTGGTGGAATAGCTTCAAGCCATTTAAATTTCCTCTAAAACTTTTCTCGCACCATCTCATAACTAGGGAAGCAAATGAGGAGAAGTGCTAAAAAACATATTTACACACGTTCACTCTATTAATTCTAATTACCTTTTCTAATCTGTAAAACATGTTGCAACAATATATATAATTTTTATTTGTAGTGTTACTAGTGCATCTGGCACTCTACTATCAAAGACTGGAAATCACTTTATGAAGATCGACGACGTTTTAAGGACATCTACAATGGACGGTATAGCTTATCAAGGCATGTATCGAGGCGAAGAGATCGATTCTCGTTCCTACAATGAGATGAAATGTACCGATGACAGTTTTCATCGAGATCTAACGACGTGGCGGGTTAGCATTCCACAGATTGAAACAGGAGATAATCAGATTTTATACGTGATTACTGTGCACAACGAGGGAAAATCCTGGACCGTTTTACGTCGCGATCAAGATTTTTATGTCCTGCGAACACGATTAGCAGAGTTTCACGGTGACAAGGAATTAAGTGATTCGCCGTTACCATCGAGAAAAAATCCACATTTATCTTGCGCTATTAATAAACAACGATACGAAGATTTTTTGGAGAAATTATTATCGAAGCCGGTGCTCAGAAGTAGCGAACTTCTATACAACTTCTTGACAATGCCAAATTTGAAGCCTTACTTCACGAATTATAGTACTCCGGATATTGGTATATTGTACCAAAGTGTGGCGTACAAATTGCGAAAGGAGAAAGGGCAAAACTTGGATAAATTCATGTCGGTGTTTCTGGCCTCGACCAATGTGAAAAGTGATTACACTGATATCGGGATCGAACCATCAGACGAGCCAAGTGCGAGTGAAACAGAAAGAAAAGGGCGACGCGATCTTCTGTGCGGAGTGTTTGGAGACAATCTTCATTTAGATCTTAATTTTCGGACCCTGCCTTCTTCTTCATTGGAACGCTCCCACGTTAAGGGTGCTTGTTTCTGTATCGCAGATGCTGGTAGGTTTTTTCACCTTTCAATTTTTTTTAAGTCATTACTCTGCGTCAATGTTTTTCTATTATCTTTCTATTCGCTTGAATTCGGTATAAGAAATCAGTCCATTTCTTTTTCTATTTTCTGTTAACGTGTAGGTTTTCTCACCTTTCAATTTTTTTCAAGTCATTACTCTGCGTCAATGTTTTTCTATTATCTTTCTATTCGCTTGAATTTGGTATAAGAAATCAGTCCATTTCTTTTTCTATTTTCTGTTAACGTAGATGTTCTAGAGTATTCTGCTGAAAGAATTTTCGAGAAATTCCAAATGTTAACACTTACCGACCGGTAGCCTATTAATCTGCCTTTTGCCGCCAACGCTTACCGACCGGTAGCCTGCTAATCGGTTTTTTTTCCGCTAACGCTTTTCGACTGATAGCCTATTAATCGGTCAAAGTTTGATTTAACATTTCTATAGGTATAAGAAAAAGTGCATATATTCCCGCGCGATAACCTAGAGTCCAAACAGAGCCGGTGTTAGCGATGTGTCTGTGGCCGAGTGAGCGGTCGGAAGTGCGTAGGATGTACAACCGCTACCGGTCGGTAAAGTGTTAATAAAGTTACACAGGTTTGAAGTCAAGCACGCAGATAGCAAATTGTTCGCTATATAAATTATACGAAAATCTTTAAACCCGTTTTTCTCGAAATTATGTTTTTTAAACTGGTTGATCTGATTTCTCAGAAACGAATTAGCTGATTAACTTCAAATTATATGTACATTTTCTATACACCTCTCTTTATCAGTATCTACGTTTACGGTTTCAGTGGACAGGTTACTGAACGTGCCAGCAACAATTGCACGGGTTTTCTGGATGTTTGCTTCGACGTCCCGTGCAAAAATGGACCCGTATATTAACATTCTATTGTACAATGCTTTGGCGAAACTTCTAAGCGGCGGTCGTGCGGCCATTGTGGTGAAGCTTTTACACGCAAAAGTCATGGGTGATAAGAGTCGTACGAAAGACACGAATTTTCAAGCAAATCGTCGAAATTACTACGTAAGCGCGAAAAAAGGATTATATGGTTTATTACCGTATTGGCTAATAGGATTTTACAAACCATGGACTGAATTAATGGATTCCATTTTAGATGCGTTACAAAATGCACCGCTCAATAAACATCTTGCGTATGTCCTTCTGGATCAGATTTTGATAAATCTGTTCCCAGAACTTACAACTTGATTCGTATGAAAATATCGATTGTACAATAATACAAAGTAAAATGAATATCTTTAGTGAAACTATTGCTTCTCATACAAGGTGTCGTGTAACTGGTGGTACAAGCGGACAAACGCGATTCTACGTGAAAAACTAAATGAAAAATATAGAATAAAATTTGTTCATAAGAAGCTTACTTTTCGAGAAAATTGAATTTAAAAATTCCCTATAAACTTTTGCTTCTGCTCATACTTTTACGTTGATAAATAGCGGTTATGTCACATTTCGCAAAGAAATAACCGTACAGGCTTTCACACAATTAAAGTATCGAAATATCGTATCATCAGTCCATGACTCTCCAATTTAAAGAGCAAGGATTTGAATGCGTTAACAAACGATACTTTCAACAATTCGTTTAGTAACGTAAATTTAAATTAGGGAAATCGTTAATAAATGTATTATCAAAACTTATCACGACATTAGTATCGTTTGTTAGTATAAACTTAAAGCCGAGATCACGCGTGCTCGACGAATTTTTAAATTCAATTTTCTAGATAACTAAACCTCTTATGAAAAAATTTTATTCTATATTTTTCATTCAGTTTTTCATGTAGCATCGCCACTTTTTCGCTTGTACCACCAGTTACACTACACCCTGTATAACCGAAACAACAAAACCAGCTATGAAATGACAAAATGTATTTCTGCAAAAAAGTTTTTTTTGCATGTAATAAATAAATAATTCATTAAACGCGTAGTGTGCAGAGTCTAAAAAATATTTGCTACAGTATTCATAGCTATAGGTTTATAAAAGAAACCCATCAAATTTACCTTAAGTGTGATTTGTAATTTCAAGACTCGATAAAATTTGCAGTTAATTTTTTATACACTGTACATTAGACATGAAAAATTT